TTCGCAGTTCACGGAGTCTGGTAAGGTCATGTCAGGAGCAACACTCAATGCCACATCAGTAAAGTTGCAAAATTGGACACGTGTGGGTGGCATCAACTTGTCACATACACGAACATGTGCGGCCACTTGCGGGTCAGGGTGTGGCAGTTTATCCGTCTTGCATACAGAATTATGGCAGTGATGGCACCCTTGTTCTTCTTTTTTTAAGTTTTTTGAAGTTTGAAGTTTGAACTTCTTTTTTTGGGCACCCACTTTTCTGTATATCATCAGTTGCCACAAACCATGCAGCAAAGGATTAATATGACATGGCAGCTGTTTTTCTCCTCGGCATTTTGTTGTTCGTAATCTAGAAATCAAAGTAAGCACTGAGAAGAGAAGAGAGGAGAAGAGAAGATTAGCATGGCCCCTGCGCAAGGATGACACGCATAAATCAAGAAGTGGTCCAAAAAAAACAAAGAGAGAAGAGAAGAGAAGAGAAGTGGAAGGAAGAGAAGAGAAGAGAAGAGAAGAGAGGTGGAAGGAAGAGAAGAGAAGAGAGGTGTAAGGAAGAGAAGAGAACAGAACAGAACAGAACAGAACAGAACAGAACAGAACAGAACAGAACAGAACAGAACAGAACAGAACAGAACAGAACAGAAGGGAAGAGAAGGGAAGAGAAGAGAAGAGAAGTGAAACGAAGAGAAGTGAAACGAAGAGAAGAGAAGAGAAGAGAAGAGAAGAGAAGAGAAGAGAAGAGAAGAGAAGACGAGAAGAAAAGAGATGTGAAAGGAAGAGGAGAGAAGGGAAGAGAAGAGAAGAGAAACCATAACCCAGCCGTTGGTTACGTGATGAGTATTCAGTATAACTCACGTCTTCATGACGTACATGTCGCTGATCAAAACTAGCGGCAAGATTAGCTTCCCACAGTGTGCCGAGCAGCAGGAGTTTACTGTAAGGAGCACTACTGTAGCCTTTGCACTAGGGGGCATTGTTTTTGGCCTCACTGCAGGGTCCTATTTTTTGGGGGCATCCCTTGGGGGGGCGAGGGTAGCAGCCCTTAGCAGGAGGGGTAGGATTTGTAGCCCTTACAGTAAGGAAGGGGCATAGTGGTTGTTGTCCACGTAGAGTCTTCAGGAGGGGATAAACTTCCTGCTCAAGTAAGTCGCTCACCGTGTAGTTGCAGTTGCGGTGAGCGCTACAAACGGAACGTTTGGCAAATGCTGCTGAAGTTCTCCAAGCTTCTTGTACTCTGGCCTGCAGAAGGGTGAGACAGAAAGACGACCAGCCACAAAAAAAAGGGGTGAGACAGACAGATGAGCACAAAAAGAGGGTTGAGGCACAGCTGACTAGAGAAGGGGTCACAAAAGTACCATAAGACACCCAGCCGGCCACGAAAAGAAGGGGTGAGGCACAGCCCACTGCAGAAAGCAGCGGAGGGGGGGGGCGGGGGGGGGGGAGGCCGCTGAGGATAAAAACATTTAAGATTCCCAAGAGATAGACAGCAGACCCGAAAAGGCGTGAGAAGGACATACACCCACACAAAGGGAGGGCCGGGGGGGGTGTAGTACGAAGAGAACCGCAGGTGTGAGTTGGCTGGAAAGGTGGCATTAACTGTAATTGCCCTGCCGTCATTGCCATCAATAGAATAGAACAACAATACAGGAGAGAAGAAAGACAACTCTTTAGCTCTAACGTATTTACTTACTATGTATACCGAAGGCTGTGTCAGTTGCGAAGTAGTGAGGCGCAAAACTGCGAACTGTAAGCATCCAATCAGTGTTATGGCATGAGATACACCAGCTGACGAAAAAGTACGATGAATGTTCAATTTTGAAAATTTTCAGTGCTCTGCTCTTATCTGATTTATCTATATATAGAGAGTTAGAACCAAACAAAAAAAAAAAAAAAGGAAGGGAAAGCACAACAGCTAAGCAGTTGCAATAGGAATATAGATAGACGCACAAACACAGTTGACTCCTCAGCAATTAGCGATTATCAAGAGATATATACTCTTATCTACAGAAAGTAGACAAGCAGATGAATCCTCAGCAATTAGCGATTCTGAAGATAGACACCGAAAGACAAGCTTGATCATACGAGTGTATCAAAACAGGTACAGCATCCCCGACAACACGTTTCGACTGTAGCCACACATTCATCCTCAGGGCGAGCCACCTTCTTCCTCCAAGACTCAGTTACCAGCATCCATTAACAACTAACCCACTTCCACCTCCACTCCCTACCGACATCCAGTTAAGCGACCAGAACATGGCCCTCCAGGCAACTGGAGAACCTGTTTTGAGCCTCTCCTAAACCACCTGAACATGGCCCTTAGGAGGGCGAGCGCCGTAGATAGAATGCATCGGTGGTGGGCGGCCTCCGAAAGGGCCCTGCGGCCGATAGCTGGCATGTCCTGCTGCTTTAAGCCCAGGTTGTTGTAGAGGTAGAGATTGGATGCTAGACATATGATAGCCACCTTCAGTAGTCGGCCATCTGGTTATCTAGATGATGGTCTATAGTCCTCTATAGACCTCTATAGACCTCTATAGACCTCTATAGACCTCTACTGAAGGTTATCTAGATGGTGGTTTATAGAGGTCCTTATGAGACTCCCTCCCAACCTGCCACTTTCATTATTTCTCCCCGGCTCACCCCTACCCCCACGATCCTACCTCAGTGTCTACCACTCAGGATTGTCACTCTCCACCAGACAGCTCGACGGGGGTGACCTGACCAGACAGCAGTTGTACGCACCAGGGCTAAGCAGGACCCAACTTGCCCCACCCAGCCCTGATTAAAGCATAGTCGGACAAGCCCTGTTGCTCGCACACCCGATCGTCCTAGCGAGTCTCAGACCAGAAAGAGGTTGAACTACACTGTCTTGCTGATTATATGAAAACGTCAATCGACACAATATATGAAGTCGTCAATCGGCACAACAGAGTCCCGAATCCCGCAGTCTTACGCAGGTACCGTATGTAGTCCTACATTTTATGTCCCAAACATGAAGCTTCGAGACTCTAGTTCGCTTTTATAAGTCCAAGAAACACAACATTTTATTGACAAAAAGAAGAAAAAAAAAGAAACTTGTACTGTTGTGGCGCTTTTATATGTTTAAGAAACACAACATTTTATTGGCAAAGAGAAAAGAAAAAAAGCAAGTTCATTTGACTACTCTTGACTCTTGAGTCTTGAAAATGTAGATGTGCATAGATTCATTCAGCTGAATTTGGTCTGAATGAGCATGCTCTTAGGCAGCTAGGCTACATATCTAGAGTCCCAAAAGGTCTGGCAGAAGCATCATTCCTTACAAGAGGTCAACAAGTAGCAGAAGCATCGTTCATTACAAGAGGTCAACAAGTGTACCTGCCTGAAATCATGACCCCATTCGGACACACAGTGGGCTTCATCAACTGCCAGCAACGACACGCCAGTGCTCTGCAGCAGGCTCGACCAAAAACTGCACAAAAAAAAAAGAAAAAAAAAAGAGAAAAGATAAAAAAAGAGATGCGCATCAGCTCCATCCGTCCGAACGGGTGCTACACTATATCGGATACCAACAATACTACCGTCTTCATCCGAATATAACGCCCGGTCATTATTGCTGTATGTAGCATTGTTGCTGCCCCCGACGGTCGGCGGCCCTTGACTGGTCGGCTGCCGACCCGCCGACCGATCGGCTGGTCGGCACCTACCGGTCGGGGGTCGTCGGCACCCCGCAAAAAAAAATAAATTGTTTTGGCGTCCAGAACCCCCAATAACACATCCAACACCCCCATAGCGTCCCCCAATACCCCCAATACCCCCAATACCCCCATAGTACCCATACACCCCCCCAAACCGCCCCCAAACC